AAACAGCCCCTGCTCTTTTATTTGCATTTTGCCTTTCCCTTGGATGGGGCTGCTTATGAGTTATTCAAAGATGTAGAAGTTCTAGAAGAATAAGTCACTGGGTTTGTGGCTACATGTGGCTTCTACTATTGTGCAACGAAACCACGTTCTGCTGGTTTCCTTAGGTAAGAGCAGAAATGACTAGATGGAATGCCCATCTGCCCGTACATAGTTTAAAGGCTCAAATACTTTGAAACCCTTTTTAAAAATCAGAAATAGTAGGAAACATCACATCTGAAGTCACAGAATGCTAACCTCTGTGGCTGGAAGAAGTGTGCAAGCTGATATATTCATTTCTGATGCATTTGGAAATACTATCCTGATGTACATTTACATTTTTCACATGGAAAGTTCATTTTCTATAGGCTCCCATTTGATTTTAACGTTTCCCCATGATCATGTGTGTTTGTCCTTTTGGTTTTGGTTGCAAAAGAGTATCTGCCTCTGAGAGTGCTTCTCTGTTGATGCATTTAACAAATATCGTTGCCTGTCCCAGAAGCGCCAGGCATCGAGGATGGAGTGGAGAACAATGCTGAATGTGTACCCCTGTCCTGCTAGCTCTTACGGCTCAGGGAGGAACGTGAGCAAGGAAGCAAACAAAAAATCAGTTCTTTTACATGATGCTAAGTTCTATGAAGGAAAAGAGTGCTAGGGTGATTTGACTGGTTTGAAGGAAGGGCTCCATGACATGGAAACATTTAAAGTGAGGAGAGAGAAAAAGTTAGTCAGGCAAAGGCAGGGTATTCCAGGCAGAGGGACACGCATGTGCAAAGGCCCTGAGGTATGAACGTCTGTGACTGAAGAAGCACAAGTGCCCGATTCATGTTTGGAAGGCAGTGATGTGCGCTGCTGGAGTACATAGGCAACAGGCTGGTCTAGGTGGCGCTGGCTTGTAGGCCAAGGGAAGCAGCTGGAGTTTTCTTGAGCACCTTGACAAGCCATTGGAGGACTTGAACCAAAAACAGGACCTGACTTCACTTACATTTAAGAAGCGCTCTCTGGCCTGTGTAGAGAGGACATGGTGAAGGAGTGGAAGCCAGGGCTTTCTCTGTAAGGATTAAATGAGTTAATGAGTGTCTAGCATTTGGTGCAATACTTGATACATAATTATTGCCAAGTTCATGTTAGGGGTTGTTATTAATAATTATTATCAATATTAATATCAATATACTTCAGTTTAGCATCATAATCTGATGGTATATATTCAACATGTACACCTGAAATCAACGGTCTTCTCTGGTTTCAGTCACTACAATGTAAAAATCAAGTTAGGTTAGGAATTGGGAGGTGAGATTATTGGCCTAGTGGGACTCAAACCTGAAGCCAATTTTGGTTCCTAAACTGTTTACCATATTATTGTCCATATAGTTAGTTGCATGTGTTGAGTGCAAACTTTTTAATGAGCTATTTTATAAAACATTTTTTCCTCATTAAATTAGTATACCAATCTATAAAAGAAGGCACTTCTTGAAAGTGCTTTATTTCCCAGAAATCATAACATTTGCTTCTGTGAGATTTACTTCTGACCCAACTGAGGATATACGCAGAGAGAATGCATGTTTGGAAAACTGGCATTTATGTACTAAATTTCAAGCTTTGGGAAAAGGTCTTTATTGACTGTAGAAAACCAGAGTATATGTACTCTACTCTCCTTGCTCTCAGGTTCGTTTTGAGCGCTTAATGACATCTCCTCAACCTTTAGGGAGTAGGGTAGAACCGAAAAATGCTGAGTAACTTGGTGCGCTCTCCTGGACCTCTCTAAGCCTCAGTTTACCCATCTCTGCAATGGTCGTAACAATCATGTCCTCCTCTAAAGGCTGTGAAGATTGAGGAAAGGAAATCATTAAAACGCCTCCGTGTCTGACACACAAGGAGAGCTCAACAATTGTTAACTGGGGAAGCTATTACTGTTATTTGAAGACCAAAGTACCTGCTCTCCATTATTTGACCCCTTTAATTCCAGATAGAAAGGATAGTTCTGGCATTCCAGGTAGAACTGTTTTGGTTACCAGAAAATTTTAGTGTGCTGACCTCTAATATTTTATCTCTGACCCTACTTTGACCCTGGGGCCAGGATGAGACCAGGAAAAGAACCCTGGGGCACTGGCTGCAGCTGCCGACTCTGAAGTCACAGACTCACAGCTCTGTGAGAGGTGGCCCTCCAAAGGCTGCTGGAAATTACACTGGTAACCTTTGATAAGCCACGGACGGGTTCTGGGGTTTCAATTGCCCCTGTCCTCTGCCTTTCTAACTGGCAGTAATTATCTTTGTAATGCTCTAATGCTAAATAATGATGCGGCTAATGCAAGCTGCATTTTTGGCACAGGTGCCAGCTGTTACCTCGCGGGGCAGCTGACCGCCTGGCGCACACTTAGGCACATTCAGTGGGCCAGCCCCCGCCCAAGCAAACAAAACAAAGGCAGCCCCAGCCTTCCTACCCATGGGCCCCGCCCTTCCCCTCTGCAAGGAGGCCCTTCTCTCTGCCTTCCCAGCCTTCTCCCCTCCTCCCCGCTTCCTCGCCCCTTCCCCTCACTACCCTCCCTCCCACTGGTGGTTTCTTCCTGCAACAGAAATCCAGGAAACCACCCCCCACACTTCCTCTACCCACAGTTTTCTCCAGGGCCTGACTCACACACAATTCAGCCTGATTTGGAGTTCCCTTTTCTCTGTCCCATGAGAAACCTCAACTCTCCCATTCATTTCTGGGAGTACCGGCTAGCCAGATAAGGCTGATTATTTTTGAGTCCCATAATTGACCTTCCATCATCATTTTTTTTAAAAAAGGCATATTGAAGACAAATCACCAAAGAACAAATGTGAGGCTGTGGGCTTTTTACTTACACACACACACACACACACACACACACACACACACACACACACACACATCCCGTTTATACACTGGGCCACAGAGCGGCCTTCAGCAGACAACATATGCATGATGAGTCGCTTTTCAATAACTTTAATCTCCTATAATTCATTGTTTCTGTGGTGCCGGTTACAGTCGCTAAGAGGGCAGAACAGCAGGCCAGTTTGGCACACAAACAAATTTAAATGTGAGCCAAGGGGTTTGGCCACCTTATGATGAGTGGTTGACTTGCTGCCAACAAAATAAAACAAAAACAAAACAATAGGTGGGGTTGATGAGGGTTGAGGGACAAGCGCTGCAGTTTCTAAACAGGGTGGGGGCTCCTTTAATTTTGACAGCACGAGTAATACAGGGAGGGGGTCACAGCACATCTGCTCTGGAGGAAGACAAAGGGCAAGGTGGGGCTGAGCGCAGGCTGAGGGGTCTCGGCTTTGCGGGCTCCGAGTACCGGCCTTGGCCTCTCCCTCCTTGCATCTGGCCCTGGAGGAGAGCCCATCCAGATGGGCGTCCTGAGCGTGACCACTCCCCGCCCGCCCGGGGCCCTCACGCAGATATCAACCGCGGATCGTGGCCCCTACTCACTGGCCACCAAGCCCAGGCCAGTGCGGCCAGGGGTGGCGACACCTTCCCACACCTTCCCGCTCCGTTCGCCCGTGGTGTCCGCTGGCCGGGCCCCACTGGGACTTGAGTGCCCAGGCCATTGCGGGGGGGGGGGGGCTCCTGCAGGGTCCAGGGGAACAATGGCGATCCTGTGCTGGCCGGCCGGCGGGGGAGGGGGCGTGCCTGCTGCTGGCCTGGGCTTCCTGCAACACTGAGCTCCCAACTGTCTCAGAGGCCCTAGGCCTGGCCGCCCCGCGGGGCGCTGGGGGCGCACAGGGGCCTCGGAGGCCCAGGCAACGGGAGCTCCTGGACAACAGTAACGCCCGTGCTGGGCAAGTCCATGGAGACAGACCACGCAGTGACAGGCCGGAGGCGGCTGGAGAGATCCATAATTTATGATGTTGTTCTTACCAATCCGGTTTGGGATTTCACAAGCGTTGCCTGTTTCCTTCCCATTTGTTGCTTCCGTCCGTTGGGGAAGACTCCTTTCCCTGCTCAAGACAGCAGTGGTTACCTTCCCGAATTAACGTGATAAAAAAAAATAAGTGGGTTTCTACTTGAGGGGTTGCTGAGGGGGATGAAGGGGAGCACAGGTAAGGGGAGGGGCTGATAGAGAGTGCTTGGTCCACTGGGTACCTTGGACTGATTTTACCCAGACTGTAGGAAACAAATATCCCTATTTCCAGAGAGTTGGGGTGGGGGGGTTGTGCTGAGAAGTAGTGAGAGCTGATCCAACCCCGCCGCTGCCACCACCACCACGCATTTCCTCATTTATACATGAACCTCTTGGCCCGTAATGATTTCTTTTAGCACTGCAGGCCCACAAAAAAAAACGATGACTTGGTGGCAGGAAGGGAAGGGGTTAACTACTCCTCCTTGCAAGGTGCAAGGACCTTGAGGGACCCTTCAGCAAAGGATGCCCCTGTTCTGAAAATACCTTAAATTGCTGTGGCGATTGGGGAAAGATTGATGGATTTTTATCCATAGTGCAATAAATGAGTACGTGATAGGTACCACAAAGCACCCCAAACTAAGTCGGAGGAAGGTTTTTTTCTTGTTCTTTTCCTTTTTTTTTTTTCTTGAAAAGAAATCTATCCTAGTCGCCTTCTTTTTCTCTTTGGGATTGTGTTGCTCTGTGGAATTCAATGCTTGGTGAGACTGGAGCCAGTAAAGACTTGCCTGAGAAGAGGCCTGAAGTGGTCAGATCCATTCCAAGTGCCGCAAGTGCCCTGAGCCCCAAGCCAGGGGGGCTCCTGTTCCATCTGCGGCTGAGGAGGGAGCAGGCCTGGGAAGATGTGGAGCCCCAGAGCTCAGCCGCCCCTGCAGATGGCTGGGTCATTTTGTGGTTTACAAATGACCAAGTCAGGTTGAAGCCACAGTCACTGCGGTTACAGGCAACTGTGATTACTCACACAGTTAGTGACCCAGTTATGGCACACCCTCTTTTTAAAGGACATTATTCAACCTCTTGCTAGCTTGATTTCAGAAACGGTCCATGTATACAGGGAACGTGAGGACTGCAAGGAGTGAGGTATTGAAACCCAGGGCATGTGTTCACGTATGCCAGGAGTTTGGTTTTCTGAAAAGGAGCAAATCTGGGGTGTGACTTTTGAGGCACGTAGAATTTCATGGAACTTTGACTAGAGGTTGGTTTCCAAGTTCAGCGTCTTCTGAAGGGAGGTTGGGCAAGGCAGGTAAGCGCCTCCTGGTTACCTGGTGAGCTCTGACTTGGCTTGTATACTCGTGGCCATCTGTAAAATGCAAGGGGGAGGCAGGAAGGGGAAGAAGAAGCCTACGTATGGAGGCTTGTGTGGGTTTTTACTTTTTAAAAATAGCATTTCTTTTTACCACAATGGCACAGGAACTTGTAAATATGAATCCCCAGCAATAGTAAACAAATTAGTTTAGGTTCTTTTATCTGAAAGGTAAGTAGAACAAGTCAGACATCTCTCTCTCTCTCTCTCTCTCTCTCTCTCTCTCGGAAATGCAAAACAAAATCCCCCCTGCTCTAAAGGCTTTTTTGCTGGTGAGTGTTTGTCCAGGAACAAACAGTCTTTTATTCAAATGGTCTCTGAAAGTTCATAAGCAAAAAAAGTGTCCAACGTCTGTTTGCCCACAATACAGTCTCCAGCTGCATAGTGAAGCTTTTTTGTCCTGAATTTGTGATCTGCTATCAGAGACATTTAGTTTCTCTGAACAGAAGGCTCTTTGGGAGAAGAAAGCTGGGGGTTGGGGAGGAACATGGAATCAGTCTCCCCTCACCCCCACCCCCATGCCCTTTGGCTGTTTTTTTTCTAGTCAGCCAGTACTGCCTGAGTTCTTCTGATCTTTCCCAGCACCTTCCTGAGGTGAGGGCAGGGAAGGGTGAACCTCCATGGCAGGTTTCCCCACGGGCCTGTTTTTACCGGAGTGGAGTAGCTGGCCAGGCTACTGTCCATAGGAACTGTTCACAGAAAGGAGACGCCCTACTCCTGATGCCATATCTCCTCTGGAGATTGTCCTTTACAGCATGTTTTATACAATCTTCCAAGATGACCATCTTTTTAGTCATAGGTTCCCTTTTACCATTGGGAGTGTGTAGACATTCCCACCCGACATCCTGAAGGCAGCATCCTGTGAGATGGAAGGGAAGAGGTGAGCAACTCGGGAGATGATGGACAATCGTTTGGAGGGATGGGCAAAAATAATTATTTGTAACAATTTTAATTGCTTCTACATAATTTTAAACGTTTGGTTCCTTTTGGTGGGTTCAAGCTTCAATTCACATGAATTTAATTTGTGACACTTAAACTGAGCAGTCTCAGTAAGAGGCAGGTGCTAAGGACACAGGAGGGAATAAGGTGTCCCAAGGCCATGTGCTCGTGGAGATCACATTCTAGTGGCGAGAGAGAACTAATAAGTTGTTTTTAAAATAACTTTTGGATAGGGATATGTGCTTTGAAAATAATAGAACAGGACAGACAGAAGGCCTCTCAAAGGAGTTGCTATTTGAGCTGAGCTCTAGAAACAAAAGCAAGGCCACCAGGGAAGGCAGCCACTTGGGAGAAATAGTCCAGGCAGAGAGACCCACAAAGGCCTGAGCCTGGGATGAGCTGCTTGGGCTGCAGAGACAGAAGAAGGTGTGTGTCACAGGGTTCCAGAGAAGGAGGGTGGAGAGCAGGCTCAGGGTGCCCTCACTTTCTGATTCTTCTGAACTCACCAGAGTTGGTGATTGGCACAACTCCAGGAGTCACTGTCCTAACGCCTGCCTGCACCCAGCATCCGCCCTGATTTACTTCCGTATGCAAACCAGCAAAGCAGTGGAGAGGTCAGCTGCTGTCCCCTGTATGTGCAAATCTTCTTAGCCTTGACTTGAAAGTCAGCAATACTGATTGAAAGCAGAAGACACAGCTATTGTTGAGAAGAAAAAAAAAAATGGTGTCTGAGGTGAGGGAGGGGAAGGTATAGAGGTGCCGGTGCCTCGTGGGATTGGCCAACTGGTGGGGACAGACTTTGGTTACATCTTCTTTAGTTCTGAGGCAACAGATCAATGACACATCTAGCAGAACCAATATTCCCCCCTCAAGAGAGACTCGTGCCCACCAGAAGCAATCCCCTCAGACCTGGCATGGCTTTCCTTTCTCCTCTTCTTTTTCCTCTCACTGCACACATCGCAGGGCTCTGACATCCAGGCCCCAGATCTGCCTCAAATTCCTTTCCAGGAGGCCTTGGGCGTCCCTCGCGTTCTCTCTCTGGTCTGGCCCAACATCCAGCACTTAAGGTGCTAGATTTGGTTGTTCTCTCCCATAAAAGCACCAAGTCACCTCTGAATTTTCTGGGAAAAGAAACCTCTCTCTCTCTTCTTCCCGCTTTTCTCTTTCCTAAATTTAGATTTTAATGGGTAAGGGCTTTACAGTTTTGGGGTAGAATGTGAGGGAGAAGAAGAAATAAAGAAAGATTAAATGAGGCAGCAGGAAGAACAGGAACTAGGGGCGGGGGTTGGGTAACACCTCTGACTTTATCCCTAGGTTTCTAAGTTTGGAGAAAAGAATTGTTTTTCCTTTAAGCAAACTCACATCCTCCTATAATCGACTTTTTCTGTCTGTTTTTCCTTTTTTGTGGAGTCCGCCCCCACAGCTGTTTGCTTCAGGCAAGCCCCACAGCGGGGTCTCTAACTTGACTGGGCTGCCCATGTCCCAGGCCTCTCAGGTCCTCTGTCTCCTTCCTGGGTTGTGAGGCATTTTAACACGGGCGCTCTGGGAAGTGAATGAACTGTTGCCCATCTCGGCTCTGTCAGCTCTCCTTGGCCATTGAAGAGGCTCCAAAACGGCCACCCTGGGGCTGCATTTCCAGTCAGGCAGAGGGAGAAGGCTCCCCTGCTCAGGCCCGCCCAGGCAGAGGCAGACGCAGCTGCAGGGACACAGGTCGGGTAGGCTCCTTTTCTCCCACTCCCCCTATCCTTGCCTCACTTCATCGGAAGAGTATTCAGGCTTCCTATTTCTTTTCACTTTAATTCTCATCCAGCATGGAGACTTCTGTTTTGTTCTGTCAAGCTACCCGGAGTCACAGCAAACTGATACCTATCTTCTTCCATCTTTCCCTTCATGTCCCAAGACCCAGCTTTGGCTTCCAAGACAGTGGGTTTGAATCGAACTCTGCCTTTTACTAGCCATACAGCCCTGATGAATTCGATGATTTCTCAGAGTCTCAGCTCATTTCTCAAATGAGGACAATATTAACACCTCTCTCACAGCCTCACTGAATTAAAAGAGATCATTGATGAAGAATTCCTGGAAACATGCCTAGCCCATGTTAAGGGCTCAAATACAATGATCAGTGCTGAATACTGCAAATCAACCCCTCTCAACCTCTCCCCTCCCCTGGCATTTGTCACCTCACACTATGTCTGGATGACCTCTGACCTTGACCTTCATCTATAGCTCCTTGGAGTTCTTCTCCCAGTCTCCTGTGGTCTTTTTGGTCCACCTGGGGAGCTCCTGTTGGCTCTGTATTTGGCTCCCCTTATAGAATCTCCCTTAACCATCCTGCGACTATCAACTCCACGTGGGTCACCTCCAAATTGTCATCCTCGGCCCTCGCCTCTCCCAACTTCCAAGTGTATGACTCTCCTTAGAGCTCCTCAGGTTCCATCTTCTCCTGAATAACCTTCCTCCTCACCACGGTCTCCATCTTCTGAGACTCTGGGTCGAAGCATCTTCATTCAGTGCCTCCCTCTCATAACTATTACCTTTCCCAAATCATCATATGTGTCTAGTTCCTGAGCACTTTGTGCCTGTCATGTTATAGTTACTGCCTAGCCTGCCCCCCACCACAAGCTCCAGTGTCTTCTCTCTGATCTGTTCTGCAATGGACTGATTGGCCCCCACAGGCAGCCTGTGGTGAGAGACAACAGCCTGGTCTCTTATCTCAGCCTCATGTGTGCAAACTCGGCTTCCTCATCTGACTCATACGCTCCTGCACCTGCGTAGTGGAGATTTTTTTGCCTTATGTCCACCCTTAGTTTGATGTGAGGAGGAGGGACTTCTGGAAAGTCCTGTGAGATTTGATTTGCATAAAGATCCAAGAAGGTCCTGGATAAGGACTCACTGTAAGGTCAAGGAGAGTCAAAGTGTAATTAGAGTAATGAGAGGATAAGCTACAGGCCTAGTGCAAACAGGGATAAGAAATTTCAAGTGTGCTAATAATAGTAACAGTCAATATTATTATTAATGTTGTTTTCTGGGCTCATCTCCCACCTTCCCTTTCAGGACTTGTAAATGTGTAAGCTATCACAAAAATGAGGAGCTGGCTCACTAAAATATCTGTGTAGTTAGGAGCGTGAGAACAATGCTTTGATATATTAATGCATTTGCTGCGCCAGCACTTCCTGAGCATGCGCTTTGGGTTCAGCATCAGGACTATGCCCGCACAGCATTTCCAGTCAGCAGGGGTGACAGATACTACAAACAAAAAAGGGCCATGAGGACCGGCGTGTGCTGTCCGTGGCCAGGTACAGGAGGTCACAGGACCACTACTGGGGATGCCTCGCCTGGCGCTGAGTCAGGTGAGGCTTGGCAGAAGACACGGAAGATGAGACACAGAAGGAGAGTAGGAGTCAGCCAGGTAGAGGAAGAGTTCCACGCAGAGGGGAACAGGGCACACAAAAGTCCTTCAGACAGAGAAGCACAACAGTTTTGAGGAACTGAAAGAGGTTCATTCTGGGCAAAGTGTGGGCGGGATGCTGAGAGTCAGGACTGGAGAGGGAACGATGAGTGGGGCATTGTAGACAGTGCACGTGAGTTTTGATTTTACCCTAAAAGGCAAAGGCAAACCATGGCAGGATTTTAAATGCTGATGTGTGTGTGCGTGCATGCGTGTGTGCGTGTGTGTGTGCGCGCGCGCGCGCGTGCACGTGTGTGTGTGTGTGTGTGTGTGTGTGTGTCTGACATATTAGAAGGGTATTGGAGAGGAGCACAACTGAGGCAGGGAAACGTAGGAGGTTGCTTACAGATCCCGGATGTGAGGTGATGGAGCCTGGACCCAGGCAAGGTAGTGAGGGGCAGCAAAATGGATGGATATGAGCAATATTTGAGAGGACTTGTAATAGGTTGGATATGGGAGGTGAAGCAGAGTGGAAAGTCGAAGATAATTCCTAGGTTTCTGACTTGAACAAGGGGGAGGATATTAGTGACATTTGCTGAGATCGGGAACACTTAAAGTGGATGGGTTTGCTTTCATGCATGTTAGCTTGGAGGTTGCTGAGACACATCCAAGTGGATGTGAGTTTGCAGACCCTGGTCAGCATTGGAGAAGCCAGGAGAGACTTGAAAATCACTCCAATAATGTGTGTGTTTATTTCTGCTGTAGCCTGAGATCGTTTGGTTGTCAAGAAGGAAGTTCAGGTCTGGCCGATTGGCGCGTTGGTTAAGAGCTGGCTTGTGACACCAGCTCTGAGCAGCAGGACCCTGGTTCGGATCCCACATGAGGGCCAGTGACACTGCCCTCCACAGCTAAGACGGTGAACAACAGCTTGACCTGGAGCTGGGCTGCGGTGAGTCACCAGCAACGGCTAGGCTGCAGCCCCTGCTGCAGTGGGCTGCCATAAGCTACTGTGAGTGGCCGGCAGCTGGTGTGAGCTGCCAGCAGCCGCAGTGAGCGGCCGTCCAAAGGCCGGTGACTGATCTGCCTCACCCGGGAAGAACGCAATGATGATACCAACATGGGCAGTGAAGCAACGTCCTCCACAACTAGACTGAAGAACAAAAAAGAGAGCAACTTGTCTGTTCCCCTTCCCCCGATTCCCTAGCGCTGTTCCCCTCCCCCAATTCCCCAATAAAATATTTTAAGAAAAACAAAAACAGACAAACAAAAACAAAAAGAAGTTCACTGAAGCCAGCTCAAGTAAAACGTGGACTTCTTAGGAAACAGAGCTTCACGGGCTGTGCTGCTCACAGGGAGGCTGTGAGGATGAAATGAGCTCTTCTGGGTCCCACAGGGAACGGGGCCACTGGTCCTTTCGTTCCTGCTCCACTTCCTTCTGCGTGGGCCAGTCTTCTCCGCGCATCCATGAAGCCTCCATCCTCCATGTCTTTGCTCTCTCTAGAGCTGACTCCTTCTCTTGCTGCCCGACAGACCTCACATCTGGGCTTAAAAGTCTATTATGGACTTCACATTTATACATCTCTTTATTCAAATTTTGCGACAAGAGGTGTTGATGAACACTAAGTTTGGCATGGCGGCTTTGGGTCAGGTGATCATCCGTGGAAGCAGTGACAGCAATGTGTGTGTGTGTGTGTGTGTGTGTGTGTGTACGTGTCTGTGTACGTGTGTGTGTCTCTGTGTATATATGTATGTGTGTGTGTATACGGGGGTGGCGATTTTATGAGGGAAATGGTCAGACCAGTTGTACTGTTGAGTGCAGAACTTTCGACTGGACACAGTATTCACACATTATTTATTAACTTCTCTAACCTAGTCAATGTTGATTCTGTTTCTATGTGTTCCATGTAGCAGGAGGAAAAAGCATGAACAGACAAAACTGAGTCTGCATGTCTCCTTTCCCTGTTAGCTGTTGGGCAGTTTACATGGGCTCTCAGAGCTTCATTTCGCCAAATTATAAAATCGGTGATATTGTCTACTTCCGCAGGAGACAGAATGAAATGAGATAACACTGTGAAATGTTTGACAGATGGCAGGAAGCATTCAGCGACTGCTCCATCCCTCTTTTTACTTCTCCTTTAAGCTTGTTCAAGTCACTGTTTTCCCGGAAAACAGGAGTTGTACGTAAGCCATTTTTTATAGTGTTTCTTGATGCATGAGCATTAACAAATGTTTATAGAATGATTATATATTTTATTCTATTAAAGGTAGCTGTAATCACTCAATACATTTTTGGAAAATTAAAATGAGCAAAAATCATTAACCCATAATCGTGCCATCTAAATTAAAACAGAAAAACTACACGCTGTATCTCTTTTTAGCTCTTTTCCTAGACTTTGTTTTTACATATATAGAATCATAATTTACACACAATAAAATGCAGTATGTTAAAATGTTTAAGGGTGGCCGGTTAGCTCAGTTGGTTAGAGCGCAGTGCTCATAACACCAAGGTTGACAGTTCGATCCCCACAGGGGCTACTGAGCTGTGACTTCCACAACTATTGGGTCGTCGGGAAAGTCATGACGCATTTTTGCATTGAAAAACGTTATATGTCATGACTTTCCAGATGACCCAATAGATTGAAACAACTACTCGACTTGGAGCTGATGGGTCCTGGGAAAACATACTGTTCCCCAATAAAAAATAAAAAATAAAATGTTTCAACAAGTTACTTGCAGGATAAAAATATATATACTTTTAAAGCATTTCATTTTCACAAATCTATAATATTGATTGACATCTTACTCTAATTTCCTCTGTTTTGTCCCGAATATCTCACAGATGAGGCAATGTTCAGTTAGAGCCAAATTTAATTCTACCGAGTTACAAATACTTTTCAGGCAAGAGCTATGTCCATTCAGTTGCACTTTGATATGTTAGATTTAATGCAGGGCTAATGAGGCCAAGCCATAGGTTTTATTCTCACATGAGCCAATTAGCCTTACTAACTACTACAGCCACGGATTTCACCCCAACTTTGGTTTCCCACCTTGCAAATGATGCCAGGGGTCACCAGGGAGATTGAAAGAGAACATGGAGTGTTCAGTGCACATCCATTAGCATTACCAGACAGCCAACTCAAAGGCTTCATCTTTGAGTCATTAGGTGAACTTGGTGGAGGGTGTTTAATAGGCATAATTAGAAGATTTCATGATTGAACAGTGGTTGGATTCCAGAATGGAAGTTCTAGATCCAACAAAAACAAAACTAGTCCAGATCCAGCTCTTTTCAAGGATAATATGTGAAAAAATATCTCTCTGGCTTAAAATGAAATAAGGGTACAGTTTCAAATAACCAAGGAACCTAGAAAATTTCTTCAGTAGGCTTTCTTTCTAATACCACCTGACTGGTTGGAGTTAGTAATTCTGAGAGAAGTAAAGTGTAGCTACTGACTGTGCTATGACTTGAATGAATTGGAGGAGATCCCAGGAAGTACTTGTGAGAGGATGAAGAGATTTGGAAATATGTCCATTAATCTGTTTACCTGAAGTATTCTTAGAGCAGACACACACATCTCAAAAATACTATTTGAGAAAAATGTATCATGCTATTGAGGAAATTTCTCCAATGACACTAAATACCTGTAGCTGAAAGTCTGTATTGAGCTCTACCAGTCTTAGCTCTACCACAGTGCTTTTTCTGTGCAACGAAGTGCTTTCTTCTCAACATGACTTGCACACACACCAACCCCTCCTTGCAACTCCATGGAGAAGATGTAGGCTGTTGAGAAATTCACGTATGGGCTCTGATGACACAGGCGTGTGTGCCATACTGATATTATGCGTCACCCTTTGTGTTTCAATGCTAAGCCTGGAGAAGGCAGGACCGTAGTTCTTCTGTGTGGCCGCTGTTGGTCAATGCTCAACCATCTGCCGTGCAGGTGGAGTCACGCATTAGCGGTGAAAATTTGTACCACAAAAGCTGTTGGGCTGCTTTTGTCGCATCTGGAGTTTTTTTTCTCCAAAGTCATCCCTCTTCTCTTTGCAAGACCAACTGCATAGTTTGGGCTAACAGCTCATGTTTGAGGCCTAGCTGAGCTGCTGTTTAATATTGTTCTTGCTTGTTACCACATTGATGGCATCAAATGTCCATATTGATTTTTTCTGATTGGTCCAACCTAGAACAGGATCAGCTTCATAAATGGGACATCTTGTGGTCTGAAATATGAGATTTGTTTTAACAAACCACTCTTAACCAGCATCTCTCTCAGGGAACAAGGCAAAAACAATTTATGAATTTCTTCTTGGCTTTCTCTCTGGTAAGAGTAACCCTTTTGGCCACTCGACCTAGTGACCCTCTTTCCCTCCTGCCACTTTCTCCCACTACTTACAAACAAAAAACCCCAAACAATACTCATTGAACTCTCCAATCGTTCCCTGGGCCCCTGAATCAGACAGAACTGAGTCATTCTGGCTGTCGACTGAGTGGAGGATGTTGGAAAGAATACCATTGTGCGAGTTAAGGGTCAGAGAACCCAAAAGACTGCAGCTGTATTAAAGGTCTTCTGTGTTAGGGTTCTCCTTTTAAGCTACCCAAAAGGCATAAATTAAGGACTGTGAACCTGAAGATGTGGCAAGTGAACAGAGTACTGGTTTTTTGTTTTGTTGTATTTTTAAGTGAAATTCCTCTATTTCCCAAGAATTCCAACATGAAGGTTTACATATTTTTCATGTCAGCGCTATTCCCTGCGCCACCTTTGTTTTCCAGCCTGTGTGGCTGCCTCCCCTTAACAGCTGGGCACATCACCATTCCATGTTTCTATTGGTTGTGACTGAAGTAGCTTGAGGTCAATTATTTCCCCAGCAATTGACAAAGAATCTTGACGAAGAGGAAAATGACATTGTCCCTTAAACAGCACCGCGCCCCCCTCCCCCTGCCCTCCCAGTTGAGAGGAGGGCAGACTTGCTGTTTGCAAAGCACCCAGCAGGGCAGTGGCGGTGAGGTTTGTGGAAGTGCGTGGGTAACATATGGCAAGTGGAGAAAATATTTATATTCATGGGGAACAAGCAGGAGAAGATCCAAAGAAGGTCATTCCACAGAGATTGCAAGCAGGAGACACACAGACTTGATATTCTGTCTTTGGCCTGGATACAGCAGAGAATTTAAAGAAAGAGTTTTGTTGCTTTTCCTGTCACCTTTGCTCCGCTTAACAGTCTGAACTGTTGGCAGTGTGAACAAGGGAATATCCCCTCCCCCCAAGCTCCGTGCAGGTACCACGCTGGACCTTCCCAGGGCCCTGCCAAGCTCCCACCATCTTCCCTTCCCGTGCCTCTGCCCCCCTCCCCGGACTAGAATTGAAAGCCACCGCCTCTGGTCACTTGGGCCTTGGGCCTGTCAGTGTTTCGTCTCTTGTTTTGAATGGAACACCGGGTAACCGAGTGCACAGCAAAAGTGGGCATTTGGGGCAACTGGTTCTTGGGGGGTAAGATATAAATAACGAATCCATATTAGATTACTTCCTGATGGGCCACGTGAAACCTGTCGTGACTTCACAGCAGGAGTTTTGCATCACAGCTTCCTAGGAAAGGTAAAGGGCCCTTGTTCCCCAGCGGGAAAACGCACGTTGTCCCTCCGTGCCACAGTCAAACGCATGCGGACCGAGGGTCTGCCGCCTGAGCGCCAGTCGGGCCACGGCACAGCCCTGCGCGCGCTCTCCTTTTGACCCACGGACCTGCGGACCCACGTGCTCGGCTGCCCGTGTCTGCTCTCCCTGCACAGAGATCGCGGGGCAAATGTGTGCAGACTTGCGTGGAGGAGAGGAAAGCAAAAGGGAGGCTCATTTCCCCTCTGGCCCTCAAAAATGCACTCCTTCCTGCGCTGTG